CACGGATGCCGCAGCGGCAAATCCCGGTGCCAGGAATGTGTGGGAGGAAACGACGGGGGGTGCAAGCAAAGCGGGTGGCTGCAACGGGGGTCTCCTCATTGCCCATCTCAGCCCTCCTCTTCCTCCTGCCCTCCGCAGCTTTCCAAAGCACACGGCATCACCGGGATATTTATATCCCACCCCAGTGCAGCTGCTCTGGGCACTCACACAGCGGGTGCCAGATCGGGGCTCCCCACATGGGGACACGCAGACCAGGATGCTGCACATGCTGGGACATTGCACATGCTGGGACATTGCACATGCTGGGACATTGCACATGCCACCATCCCAAGCCTCGTTGCTCCAGATGCATGGGAAGAGCAGGGAAAATCACGGGGCAGGTGATGTTGGAAAAGAGAGCAGCAAAATCCCTCTGCCCGGAGCCCCCCAGCCCGGCACCAGGCAGGCCATGGCTTCGCAGACTCCAGCACCTTCCTGTGGGCCCTTTCCCAGACAGGATAATAAGGACAGGGCCAGCTCGATGGCTCCCGTCGCTGCTCCTGGGGTGCGAGTGAAGGCACAAGGCAGAGCCTCCGCAGCATGAAGCCAGGATGTGCGACAGGGGCTGCACATCTATCTATATCTATCTATCTATATATGCACCCTTTATAGATATCCTCAAAAGAGTCCTCCACATAAATAGGCTGCCCCTGCCGCCTGCACAGTCACCCCTCCAGAGGGGACAACACGGAGCCTCCAGACCAACCTCCGTGGTGCTCAGGGCTCCGGCCACCTGCGAGCAGCAGGGCCAAGTCCTGCCCTCCGTCGGCCAAGCCAGGGCCACGTGTGGACACACGGGGATGGGAGCTACAACTTCCCTTCGGAAGCGGCTGCAGAGCTAAAGTCCAGCTCTTATCTCCCCCCTGACCTGGAGCCTCGCAGCCTCTCCCCCAGCCACGGCTCTGTGCAGCCTCCTCGGCTGCAGCCTCGTGGGTGCCCGGCGCGCCCTCACCGTGGCCTC